GTCTGAATGGGAGGTGGTGGGGGCAAAACAGATTTGAGTTTATCATCCATTAAAGCAATCTTCCCATTTAATTTGTCCAAAACATTACAGAAAACCTGTTGTTGTTGTAGTATCTGTTGGAAATAAATTTCATGATTATCAATTCTCTTATTTTGTGCTTGTAAAATGGCTGAGGTTTGGTTAGACTCAGCTCCACGCGCTGACTGGATTGTTGGCTGATGCATACTGACATAAACTCAGAATAGTCAGGCAATGAGTGGAACTGGTTAACCAAAACACAGGAGGCAGATGAAAAAGGTAAGTGATTTTATTTACAAGTACTGGGAAAAAATGTACAAGTCTGGATCTGAAAAATGGGGAAGAGTCCAGGTGAGTCTTCTTCAATGAGGACAGGGTCATGAATGATAAATATCTTTATGTAACGAAAATCCTTTCTTACAGGTTCTAGAAGAATGAGTTGGCTTTGAGGTGAGCTTTCCTTTGAGAGGTTCAAAAGTTTCTTCAGGCAGAGTGGCATAAACAATCCTCCTTGGTTCCTTTAGATCAGTGTTTCCCAAAGTTGGGGTCAGGACCCAAAGTGGGGTCCCAAAACATCAAGGTGGGGTCCTGAAAATATTTTCTGAATTAATGACATTCTTGCCTTTGTTGTTACAAAGGAGTGAGGTTAGTGTATTTAAAATGGATAAATGTAGTATAAAATATTGTTACTATGTCTATGTTTAGTTGACCTGATACAAATGTTTATCATCCAAAAATATCTGGGGGCACAGGTCTCTGCTACTGTTATTTTGTGGGTCAAAAGCTAAAAAGTTTGGGAACCACTGCACTTTGGTTCCCAAAGTTGGGCTTGGGACCCAATTATGGGTAATGAAGCACCTTGGATAATGTCCGGAAATCAATTTAAAGGGTAATAAAATAAATGCTGCTGTAATGTTTTTCCTATAATTATTACAAAAACACAAAATAAGTAAAAATAAGTATTTATATTTGTGCACAAACTGTTTAGATTGTCAAAAAGCCTGTGTTTTTAGGGTTATAAATGGAGTTTGTGTACTCAGACCAGTAATATTTGGGGTCACAAGTTTTTGCCATGRATATTTTGTGGGTCAGAAGATAAAAAGTTTGGGAACCACTGCTTTAGATGGTTTCCTGGGCAAACCAAAAACTCCAGACGATTCAATGACAGAGGTCTCCTTAAAGAGCAAAAAACATTCAGGTTAGCAAAGATAACTTTTAAACTTTCAATAACTATAGTGGCTTGAGCACTACCAAAACGGTGTTATGCATCAAGCGAGGACTTGTCCGTCTGGAGTCACTTTTAAAGCCCAGGCTGTCATCAGGCAGATTGCACGCAGGTAGTGCAATTAGGAGCAGGAACCAAGCAGAAAGTGAACAGCAAAAACCTCCAATCATCACACTCTCGTGGAAAGTTGTCACACTGCTAAAATAAAAACGCAGGTAGTCTGTGATAACTATTTTGGAAACTCACACACAAAAATTTTGTAACAGCACTTTCTAGGAGAAAAGATTTAGCAACTGTGACAACCAACCTGTGTGACAACCAACCCCGTTCTCCCCTAAGGTCAGTTTACTTAAAATGGACAAAAATAGCATGATAAATAATGTTACTATGCTCTTATTTTTTTTTTGATGTGAAAACAATGTTTATGATCCATCAACAGTTGGGAGCTCGGATCTCTGCTGCTGGTATTTTGAGGGTCAAATGCTGAAAAGTTTGGGAACCACTGCTGTAAAGGATTAGTAACTACCACAACAATGTTCAGCTCAGTACCTGTAGAACTGAAAGAATCATATCATAGATACATGTATATCATAGATACATGTTTTCAGAAAGTCAGCTGGCTGTGGAACCATGCTGAGTTTGGCTCCAAAAGTTAATCAGTTGTAGATAAACTTCTAGGCATTATCTCCAGATTTGTTTTTGTTAAAATCTGTGTTTTGTAGATGTTTATTGAACGGACAAATATAAATTTAAATGTGAATTCACTTCATTGTGTTTATTCTGTGTATGTTTTAGAGTCCAAGTTATAAACTCCAGTGAAATCAATGTGTGTAGACATATACAGGTAATTTATTTTACTGTACAACTAAATAATTGATATTATTCACGAAAACACATTTAAAACAACAACCTGATCCTACATTCTGTTAAACTTTTACTGAAGCCTTTCTGTGAACATTAACCTGACCTCATGATCCACAGCTGAATTAATGGATCTGCTCTCTGTTTGAAGTCATTCTAACAAACCTGCAGAGTTTCTGTCCTCGTGCTGGTCTCCTGTCTTTGTGTTTCTTGGCTCGTCGGGGTGTTGCTGTCTCCTTGTCCTTGTTGAGTGTCCCTCACAGCTCGTCCTGACTGCAGGATAAAGGAGACAACTTCTGATTAAGAACACTGAAGCGGCATGCGCCCAGCTTCAGTTAGACTCCTATCCTGTCAGCTGCATCTTTAACACGTGCCAAAACTTTCAGATGTCTGCCTACAGTGGTCGGCAGCACTAATCTAAAAATTAGTTCCACTAGCCCTAAAACACTAACTCAAATATTTAGGTCCCCTAATTCTAAAGCACTAAAATAACCCAGTCAACCCATGAACATTCTTCAACAGACAACATGAGTCACATATTGCCATGTTGCTCTCTTAAGACTTATTATTGACATTACACAGCTGCATTAAAGTTCACATATTGTTAATATGACACATCGTGGACAAGTGACACACATATGAACAAAATGTGTGACAGATTTCACCGTTAACATTAACATTGATCAATGACATTTACAGACCTCAGTTAGTGCTTCTAAATTTAGCCTATAAATTTAGCAAGGGCTAATCCACTAAAATATTTTAATTAGCAAAAGCCCTAAAGCACTAATCAGGAAATTAGTTCCCCTATTAGTGCTTTAGTGCTTTAGGGCAGTGTTTCCCAAAGTTGGGGTCGGGACCCAAAGTGGGGTCCCGAAACATCAAGGTGGGGTCCTGAAAATATTTTCTGAATTAATGACATTTTTGTCTTAGTTGTTACAAAGGAGTGAGGTTAGTGTATTTAAAATGGATAAATGTAGTATAAAAACATTATTACTATGTCCATGTTTTGTTGACTTGATATAAATGTTTATCATCCAAAAATAGTTGGGGTCACAGGTCTCTGCTGCTGTTTTGTACGTTTTTGTGGGTCAAAAGCTGAAAAGTTTGGGAACCACTGCACTTTGGTTCCCAAAGTTGGGTTTGGGACCCAATTATGAGTCATGAAGCACCTTGGATAATCTCCAGAAATCAATTTAAAGGGAAATAAAATAATTGCTGATGTAATATTTTCCCTATAATTATTACAAAAACACAAAAAAGTATAAATAAGTATTTATATTTGTGTATAAGCTGTTTAGATTGTAAAAAAAAAGCCTGTGTTTTTAGGGTTATTAACGAAGTTTATGTACTCAGACCAGTAATATTTGGGGTCACAAGTTTTTGCCATGAATATTTTGTGGGTCAGAAGATAAAAAGTTTGGGAACCACTGCTTTAGGGGAACTGTGCCCACCATTGTCTGCCTGTATACTGACCATCAGAAATCTATTCATTTCACAAAAAATCCACACAACTTTAACCTGACACTAACTTAATTTACAACCAAAGGACCTCAAACTGAAATATACGCATTTCACAAACAACAAAAATGTCATTCTTTACCTTTCTGTGGGATGGAGGTGGGTGGGTATATGGATGAAACACACACCATAGGATCTTCTTTTACAAACTTTACTTGGCTCCTGTAGTGTGTCACTTCACAATCACAGCTGATGATTATGTTGCATGAGTGCCTTACAACTAGTATTACTGAATCAGATCTTAAGGTAGACATCATCTGGGCTAAAAAAAAACATAAATTATAGGGCAAATAAAGTTTGTTTGTCAGGCATATAGTTCAGTTCTATACCATAGTAAATTCAGTTGTCATTAAAATGCTGTTTATACAGTGGAGGAAATAATTATTTGACCCTTTGCTGATTTGGCAAGTTTGCCCCACTTACAAAGACATCAGTCTATAATTTTAAGGGTAGATTAATTTTAACAGTGAGAAATAGAATATAAAAAATCCGGAAAGTCACATTGTATAAATTATACTGTATAAATTTATTTGCACTTAGCACAGAGAAATAAGACTTGCAATTTCAAAGCATCATATGGTTTTATTGATAATTAATTAAACCCTCGTTTTTCCAGGGTGGATTAATTGTGTAGTATACAGCTGATTTTTAAAACAAAAAATGAATTTATTGTGGATTGTCTCTCCTTGACACATAGGAGTTATAAAAACAAACTGAAATATATCCATATATTCACCTTAAATATTTTAATAAGTGAAGCTGAAAGTCTTCCTGATTTTATAACTGGGTTGAAATCTGCAGCTGCTTTCATGGACAAAATGCTTTCTGGAGAAAAGTTTGATGGTCAGTTGAGACAAAGATTGAGCTGTTTTGGCCACAATGACAAAAAGGTGAAGTAAAAGCAGTGGTAGCATCATGCTGTGAGGCTAGTGGACTGCACAAAATGATGTAGAAATAAAAAGTTGTACTTACAATTTTTTTCCACTTAATCTCAAATCAACAAGTAACACAGTGATCCCAGACACTCATCTGTTTTCTGACTGAATAAATCAGGTTGACATGAAGCTTGTGGATTCACAAAAACCTGAACTCAGTCCCACTGAACTTTGGAACAATGCTTAAAAGCTGAGTTTGTGTTTGGAAACCAACAAATTAAAATAAACCTTTTTTTAGGCCTCAGGCTTTATTTGTACCAATTAGTTGGTCAAACATCCAGAATTGTCAGATGAATGTTAATGGATACAGACATTGAATAACTTGTAAATGTTTTAACTGATAATGATAGTCAGTTTTATGGTTGTATTTTTTATGGTAAGGTATTTTACCAATGGTCTAAATAATGTTTGTTTGTTGTTGACATTCTTGACCAGACATCTTTTGAAAGAGATTTTTAATTGGGATTTACATGGTTTAATAAAGAGTTAAATAAAGATATCAAAAGCTGCTGGCGTGTACGTACAAATCTGACCCTGTGTGAACAGGACAAAATGTACAGTTTCCTAAATTCAAATATGCACAGCTAGCTCTACTTGTATAAACATTTCAACCTGAAAAAACAAGTTCAAGTAAAGCAACATTCCATCTCGTGCTCTCCGATCTCAGGGCACTGGTCTGTTTGGTAATCCCTAAGGTCAGGCGTAAAACTATTGGAGGTCGTGCTTTTTTCTTTCGTGCCCCTTCACTGTGGAATGATCTCCCTCAAGACATCAGGCTGGCCAGCTCAGAGGAAGTTTTTAAAGCTAAGCTAAAACCCACCTGTACACTCTGTCTTATATGTCTTAAATTTTACATTTTTTAAATCTTTTTTTCCCACTGTTGTACTTGTTCATACAACCCCTTTTATATTGATTTTTACCTTTTTTAACTGTTCAGCACTTTGTTGAAAGTGCTTTATAAAGTTATTATTATTATTATTATTTAAAAGTAATGAGAAATTCAGGTTTGTGATGAGTTCTTTTTAACTGTCTGACTGCAGCTGTGTGATGGCAGAGTACAAACCACAGCAAAGAACAATCTGTACTTTGTAGACAAACATTATCACAATGTGTGCTTTGGTTTCACACTCTTCCAGCTCAGCTGGTGTCGGTTGCTGTATTTGAAATCATGAATTGCGTCTCTCTGTACGAAGCTTTGTGCTGATGTGCTTTCAAAGCATTCTCATACTGTTTCTGATTCTACATGTATTTGACTAAAACATTAAAAAGTAAAGTAAGACAATTTGGACTGAATGTAAAATAATGATTTCATTGTTTGGTCCATAGAAAATGTGTCTTTAAAATTGGTTATTTATAAAAATTGAGTTTACAGTCACTTATCAGTATATGCTTATCATAAGAATTAAATCAGTTTAACTTCATCAATTATCAGTCATCTTGATAATTAAAGCTGGGACAGTAAGGTTGCACCAGGTTTTGTGCCGCCGTACAAATTCTCCCTCAGAAAGACCAACATCTTTTTCCAAGAGTCCTCCTGAGCTCGAGAATGTTCCAGAGTCTGTCCCCCCCACAACACCATTGCTGCAAACGACAAAAACAGATTCTGAGATCAAGACAAGCTGACTTTACAAGCTACCAGGTGACCGCTTTCTAACCTGAAAGTGAACTTACATTTTTGATGAGTTGTGAGATCTTTAAAAAGACTAGCTCGGGCATGTGGCGAGTATGGTGGTTCAATCAGGTGACCTGTGTTTGGGTAGGACAGGAGAGTCAGCAGGTGGCTGTTCCCCGCTCGCTCCATCATCTCCTTTATCTGGAAAACAAAGACTTTCAAGTCAGGTGGATTAACAACAAGACAGTTTAGGTTTTGTCTCATCAGCTTCAACCTAAAACAGAAACAAACTACAAAACGTTTTAGCATTGAGAGCATAATTCAACATTCTGGGTGTTACCTTGTTCTGTGTTTCTGCACATCCCTCCTAAATCGTATAAGAGCTTTGCTTGAGCATCTTTTGTCTTGTGCTCTGTCTCCCTTTTGTATCCTTAGTCATTTCACATCTTTTCCTCAGTCAACTCCACTTTCCAATCTATCACATGCACCTGTCAGTTGTTAGTATTCAGTCCGGTTACCAGGTGTTTCTCATCTTCTCCCTCCCTCAGCTTGTATTTATCCAGCCTCTTGTCTTCACTTCCTCGTCCATCCATTGTTTGGTCACCCTGGCTTCCTCCTCCCCATTTTTGTTAGTTGCTGTCACATTGGCTTTTTGTATTAATAAACTTTATTTACTTTTGAGTTCTTGAGTCGTGTCTGCATCACAGGTTCTACCTCGCCACCAGACCATGTCATGCTTTGGATATGGTCCAGATTTCAGTTTGTATTTATGATGATTAGAATCAGCTGATGGTACAGGTCTGTTTTGGAGACAAATACTATAAGGCTTTGACCACACATGAACAGTTTTTTTATTTGTTGTTCTGTGTAAACACAACACCACACGAAAACAGGAAGCTCATCAGTGTAGTGTGAACCACTGTGACCTGACATGACCTTATGACCATCAGCGTCTCATAACTGAACTTCGTCCGTCCGTCCGTTTTCTGCTGCTTATCCGGAGTCGGGTCACGGGGGCAGAAGCTTAAGCAGAGAGACCCAGACTTCCCTCTCCCCAGCCACTTGGGCCAGCTCATCCGGGGGAATCCCAAGGTGTTCCCAGGCCAGCCGAGAAACATAGACCCTCCAGCATGTCCTGTGTCTTCTTCTGGGCCTCCTCCCAGTGGGACATGCCTGGAACACCTCACCAGGGAGGCGTCCAGGAGGCATCCTAACCAGATGCCCGAGTCACCTCAACTGGCTCCTCT